CATTCTTCTCTGCCGGCTTCCTCCTGTCGCACTGGTTGTGTATCCTCTACCCAACCTCATAATCCTGGGGCTCCTTAGCACTCAGTCCTGGGACTACGTCTCTACCTTCCCAACCTCACAGTACTGGGGTTCCTTAGCACTCAGTCCTGTGAATGCCTCTCTACCCTCCCAACGTCACAGTACTGGGATTCCTTAGCACTCAGTCCTGGGACTTCCTCTCTATCCTCCCAGCCTCATAGTACTGGGGTTCCTTAGCACCCAGTCCTGGGACTGCCTCTCTACCCTCCCAACCTCACAGTACTGGAATTCCTTAGCACTCAGTCCTGGGACTGCCTCTCTACCCTCCCAACCTCACATTCCTGGGGTTCCTTGGAGCTCAGTCCTGGGACTGCCTCTCTACCCTCCCAACCTCAACAGTACTGGGATTGCTTAGTGCTCTGTCCTGAGACTGCCTCTCTACTCTCTGTACTCACTTCCAAAATGATTATATCAGTTTCCACAGTTGAATACCATCTTCATGATGGCTCCCATATGTTTGTATCTATCCCAGATCTTGCCCATCAGATTGGCATACCCTCTTGGAATCTCACATACATCCCAAACTTAAAATACCTAACACGAAGCCTTTGATTTTCTCCCTTAAACTCCTCAATATCCTAGTAGTCTTCTCAGTAAATGACCCTATTATCCAACAGTTACTTACACCAAACCAATGGCCCCCTTAATCCTCTTTCCTTCACAGCTATCAGAAAATTCTATCCATTGTAATTCTAAAATATATCTCAAGCTCAAAAAATTTCCCTCTGCTATGATTTTATTATTCCAGCTGCCATGATCACTCCTCTGGATTATTACACAATAATTTCCTAATAGGGTCACCTGTTCTGTTCTTGCTCCATCTAATCCATTCTCTAACTAGAGGTAGAAGTAATTCTTTAAAACATTAATCAGATCATGCCATATCTCGCTTAAGTGTTTCCACAGATTCCCACTGTACTTAGAATATAATCCAAATTTCTTACTGTGTCCTACAAACCCTGAATAATCCGTCCTGTCTCTTTACTGCTTAAGTCAAATTGTGTTGAGTTTTGTTACTTGCAACTGAAAGTAACCTTAATGACACAGACAAGGAATAACAGAGTGGTCTAAGCATAAGATTAAGATAGTCAAATACATATTTTCAAACAGATCATCCTAACGGCACTGTAAAAGACGAATTTGAGGGAGACAAGTACAGCGTCAAGAAGACTACTTCCATTTGTCCAGGAGAAGGATGAGAGGCTGAATCAGATCTGTAGTGTGAGAAAACCAGTTGCCAACAAGTCAATTTAGACTTATAGCAACACTGTTTAAGTGTGTCAGAGTAGAACTGAGCTCCACAGAATTTTCGATGGCTGATTTTTCTGAAGTAGATTGCCAAGACTTTCTTCTGAAGAGCCTCTGGGGGGAACACAAGCCTCTAGCCTTTGGGTTAGTAGCTGAGTGTGTTAACTGTCTGCACCGCTGAGGGACTCCCTAGTATACAAGCTATATGGAACAGAAAAGATTTAAGAAATATTTAGGGAGTCCACCCAACAGGATTTGGGCTTAGCTATAGAGACAGAGGAAAAAGCAGGACTCAGTGATGACTACTACATTTCTGGTTTGGGAAATCAAATGTATTTTGATGCAACCAGTCAGCATAAGCAAAGAGATGGGGAAGAGGAGGTTGGGGGCTGGGGTGAGTTGGTGAGTTCCCTCTCATTCGTCAGGTGCCACAAGAGGCCAGCATAAAAACTGCAGGTTGGGCTGAAGGTACTCAGCCTAGTCTCACAGTCCACCAGGAGGAATGCCCACAGGCGTCTCTGCTATGTCCTCTATAAGCTTATCAACATGCCTGAAATGCTTTAAATGCAATCTTAGGAAAAAAGTGTATTTCTAATACACAGCACTGACAGAAGTAGAAGCAGAAAGCAGGGGCTAAACTGCCATTTTATGATTGCAAGTTATTTTATACAAAACAATATACGTAGGGGTGTTGGATGGAGTTCTTCCTTGGTTTCCATCTTCAGATTGTAACTGAATAAAAACAAAGACTCGGCCATATTCTTCAGAACATTAATATTCTTCACGAAGAACTGAGAAATGGGAGGTAGGAACTACATGGAGATGGATCCGTGTGTACACCATAGTGAGCCTGTAGTCCCCACTCAGGGGCTTCTCACAGCTAAGCGGACAGGAGGTCTTTCACCCCCAACCCCACTCCCTCCACACCTGCTCCTGTTGTCTTTCAGTTGACTGTGCCATTATCCAGAGTCTGCTCAAAAGTAGGAATGTTTAACCTGAAAACTGACAACTAACTACTCATAAATGAATTACATGAGTAATTCTACAAGCAAAATTCTCCATGTTATGCTTTTTGTGGCAACTTGCTGTTGTTCAAACGCACACCCCACGCAAAAGTCAATGCCAGGTCCCAATCCTGGGTGCAACCCCAGCTTAGCTGCTAAGCAGACATGGGACATTGGCAAGTCCTTGATCTCACTCAAGTTTCAGCTCTCAATTTATAAAAAAAATTATAAAGGCATTTATCCGACCTTCTCCTCAGCATCTACTATGAGGAACAACTGAATTAATACATGTGAAAGGACTTTGTAAATTGCTAAGGACTCTATAAATCTAAGTGGTGTTGAAGTACCATTGTTTAATATATGCAACAGTTTTTATTACTCAGAAACTAACCCTCAACTTTCCAAAACATTTATTTCCAGCTGAATGATAACATAAAGGAACCAGCTCTCAACTTATCTCTGCCTGTGGCTAACCCCTTCTCACCAGATCACTTCTCAGGAGATGATCGCCTCCTCCTATTTAGAGTGGTCCTCCCTCCCCACCCTAATCAGTTACTCTCCATTACAGTGCCCTGTTTATCTCTGTCACCATACTTTCTATAATCTTCAATTACTTTAGCATCTGTTTCACCACTAGATAGCTAGCCTCAGCGTAAACAGGAACTTTGTTTTATTTGCTTTATACTCCCAGCTCCTGAGCACTATATAGACAGCAAATAGTAAGTCCTCCATAAATTTTTGTTGAATAAATGAATACAATTTTATTATGGAAAGTAAAACTATTTCTATAAAATTAACTTACCTTCTGGAATTATGTTTGAATCTTCTACAGCATTATCTAAAATTAAAAAAAAAAAAAAGCAAAAACATCATACATTAACTCACCTCCACTCAGATTTAAGTCTGGCTTTGTGTGAAATAGATCTTCTTATAAGATAGACTCACCAGTATTTATACTAGAATACCAACTTTAATTTCTAAATTATATATAAAAAATACATCAACTAGGCTGATATTATCCCTGTTGACATAAAGCTTACTTCATAAACAGGGAATAATTATATTAACAATACCCAATTACTTTCTTGACAACTTGAAAATGTCTTTTTCTTTTTAGTAGATCTATTCTTTGTTCCACAAGTTATAACAATTTAACAAACATGGGAAGGCTGACCTATAGGAAATATTTGCTTAGAGAAACAATTTACCTGAAACTTCTATTCTTTCATCTTCCAATGGTTCATATACTATAAAACAAAAAGAAAAAATAATCCATAAGCACTGTATGACTTTCATTATAATACAATAGGACCATGTGCTTCATCTCTGAGCCTCTGGGGCCAAGTCACTGGGAAACAGCAGACCACAGAGTAGGGTAGTAGTGCGGGGTTCCACCTGAAGTGAAACAGGCCTGGATTCAAATTCCAGGTCAGCCACTTTGCCACAGGAGATAGTGCAATTACACACACTTCCTTCCTATAAAATAGGGAAAGTAAAAGCTACTCCTCAAACACTTGTTATGATTAAATAATGTGCTTTACTCCTGGGTAGCACTGAATTTTCTTTTATTTTCATGTCTGTGGTGAAGGTTCTGAGTTACGGAAGCTCTGCCCTGCTTACCACTCCACATCCAAGTTTTCACCAGACAGATTTCTCACTTTGTTTAAGAAAAAGTTCTCAGATCTTTAACCTGGCAGCAAATGCCCTGCGGCCAGCCCCTTAGAATCCGGGTTGTGTTGGCAAACCCTCAATTCACCACCCTAAACACAGCCCACAGCCTGTTTTTGCATCTGGCTGAATCCTTCTCCATGCTCTGCTGCAAAGAGAGGCTTCTGTCTGCCACAGTCCTCTTGGGACTATCTATAGGGTTGCAGCTTTCTCAATGTGATCTCTGCTTGCTCTGTCTTCCCAAAATGCCCCAAATTTCCTGACACACTAAAAGCAAACATTCTTATTTTTCCAGCACTGTTATAAATGCATTCATTTTAATTCATTTAATAAAGAAAATTTTTGAGCACCTATATCATTTTCTGTCCTTTTCAATGGCATTTGGAAGATGGAGGAGCAGTAAGTGTACCCACCATAACTCTGAACCCTCACTGGCATTTACATACGCTACCAACTTAAAAAAAAAAAAAAAAAAAAGCCCTTTCCTGATCCCATTTCCCCCATTTCCCCCTTGCCTTCTCTTTCCTCTAATTTCTTCGAAGAGTCACTTACACTGGCTGTCATATCTCTTTACTTCCCCTCCTCAACGTACTCTGTCTTCCTGCCCAACCACATCATTTTGGCCCACCAAGCAGCACCTCGTCTAATCTCAAGGACATTTTTCAGCCCTTACCTTACTGATCTCTTTCCTTTTCAAAGCACTACCGTTCCTGAACTTCAATGTGACCATACTCACTGGCATTCCTTTTACTTCTCTCATTTCTCCTTCTCTATCTTCTTTATCACTTCACCCTTTCTTGTTATTGTTGTTAGGTGCCGTCGAGTCAGTTCCAACTCATAGCAAACCCATGCACAACAGAACGAAACATTGCTTGGTCCTGCACCGTCTTCACAATCTTTGCTATGTTTGAGCCCATTACTGCAGCCTTTGTATCAATCCATCTGCTTGAGGGTCTTCCTCTTTTTCGCTGACCGTCTTTACCAAGCATAATGTCCTTCTCCAGGGACTGGTCCCTCCTGATAACATAGCCAAAATACGTGAGACAAAGTCTCACAATTGTTGTTTCTAAGGAGCATTCTGGCTGTACTTCTTTCAAGACAGATTTGTTTATTCTTCTGGCAGTCTATGGTATATTCAATATTCTTTGCCAACATTGTATTTCAAAGGCATCAATTCTTATTCGGTCTTCCTTATTCATTGTCCAGCTTTTACATGCATATGAGATGACTGATAACACCATGGCTTGGGTCAGGTGCACCACCTTAATCCTCAAAGTGACATCTTTGCTTTAAACATTTGAAAGAGGTCTTTTGCAGCAGATTTGCCCAATGCAATATTTGATTTCTCAACTGCTGCTTCCATAGGCGTTGACTGTGGATCCAGGTAAAATGAAATCCTTGACAACTTCAATATTTTCACCTTTTATCATGATGTTGCTTATTGGTCCAGTTGGGAGGATTTTTGTTTTCTTTCTGTTGAGGTGTAATCCATATTGAAGGCTGTGGTCTTTGATCTTCATCAGTAAGTGCTTCAAGTCCTCTTCATTTTCAGTAAGCAAGGCTGTGTCATCTGCGTATTGCAGATTGTTAGTGCGACTTCCTGCAATCTGAATGCCACATTCTTCTTCATATAGTCCAGCTTCTCGGACTATTTGCTCAGCATATGGATTGAATAAGTACGGTGAAAGGAAACAACCCTCATGTGCACTTTTCCGCTTTTAAACCATGAAGTATCCCCTTGTTCTGTTCGAACAACTGCCTCTTGGATTATGTACAGGTTTCACACGAGTAAAATTAAGTGTTCTGGAATTCCCATTCTTCCAATGTTATCCATAATTTGTTATGACCCACAAAGTCGAATGCCTCTGCATAATCAAATAAAACACAGGTAAACATCTTTCTGGTATTCTCTGCTTTCAGCAAGGATCTATCTGGTATCAGCAGTCATATCCCTCATTCCACATCCTCTTCATAATCTGACTTGAATTTCTGGCAGTTTCCTGTCAATGTACCATTGCAACCGTTTTTGAACTATCTTCTGCAAAATTTTACTTGCATGTGATGTTAATGATATTCTTTGATAATTTCTGCATTCTGTTGGATCACCTTTCTTTGGAATGTGCACAAATATTGATCTCTTCCAGTCAGTTTGCCAGGTAGCTGTCTTCCAAATTTCTTGGCATAGATGAGTGACTGCATCCATTTGTTGAAACATCTCAATTGGTATCCCATCAATGCCTGAAGCCTTGTTTTTTGCCAATGCCTTCAGTGCAATTTGGACTTCTTCCTTCAACACCATCAGTTATTGATCATACGCTACCTCCTGAAATGGCTGAACACTGACCAGTTCTTTTTGGTACAGTGACTTTGTGTATTCCTTCTACCTTCTCTTGATGCTTCCTGCATCGCTCAATATTTTGCCCACAGAATCCTTCAATATTGCAACTAGAGGCTTGATTTTTTTTCTTCAGTTCTTTCAGCTTGAGAAATGCTAGCATGTTATTCAGTTTTGGTTTTCTAACTCCAGGTCTTTGCACATTTCATTATAATACTTTACTCTGTGTTCTAGAGCCACCCTTTGAAACCTTCCGTTCAGCTCTTTTACTTCATCATTTCTTCTGTTCAGCTACTCAACGTTCAAGAGCAACTTTCAGAGTCTCTTCTGACATCTATTTTGGTCTTTTCTTCCTTTCCTGTCTTTTCAATGACCTTTTGCTTCGTCATGTATGATGTCCTTGATGTCATCGCACAGCTCATCTGGTCTTCGGTCATTAGTGTTCAATACGTTAAATCTATTCTTGAGATGGTGTCTAAATTCAGGTGGGATATTCTCAAGGTCTTACTTTGGCTCTTGTGGACTTGCTTCAGTTTTCTTCAGTTTCAACTTGAACTTGTATATGAACAACTGATGGTCTATTCCACAGTCAGCCGCAAGCCTTGTTCTGACTGATGATACTGAGCTTCTCCATCCTCTTTCCACAGATGTAGTCAGTTTGGTATCTGAATATTCATCTGGCGAGGACCAAGTGTATAGTCGTTGCTTATTTTGTTGAACAAGTATTTGCAAGGAAGTTGTCATTGGTATTGCAAAATTCTCCCATGCCATCTCCAGCATCATTTCTATCACCAAGGCCCTATCTTCCAACTACTGTGTCTTAGTCATCTAGTGCAGCTGTAACAGAAATACCACAAGTGGATGGCTTTTACAAAGAGAAATTTATTCTCTCAAAGTCTAATAGGTTACAAGTCCAAATTCAGGGTGTCAGCTCCAGGGGACAGTTTTCTCTGTTGGCTCTGGAGGAAGGTCCTTGTCATCAACCTTCCCCTGGTCGAGGAGCTTCTCCATGCAGGAACCCTGGGTCCAAAGGATGCACTCTGCTCCCATCAATGCTTTCTTAGTGGTATGAGGTTCCCACTCTCTGCTTGCTTCCCTTTCCTTTTATCTCTTGTAAGATAAATTGTGGTGCAGGCCACACTCCAGGGAAAGCCCATTTACATTGGATCAGGGACATGACCTTAATAAGGGTGTTACAATCCCACCCCAATCCTCTTTAACATAAAATTACAATCATAAAATGGAGGACAACCACACAATACTGGGAATCATGGTCTAACCAAGTTGACACATATTTTGGGGGGACACAATTCAATCCATGGCATGCTGGTTCTTCTACTTTGTTTCCAACTTCCCATTCTAATTGCCAGTAATTATAAATGCATCTCAATTGCATGTTTGATC